CGAGACATTGCAAAGAACATCTTCCACCGTTTTCGAACACAAAACCGACCCGTTTCTGTTCACCTCAGGTTCGTAAGTTATCTCATGTTTCGATGTAGACGAAACACCTCTTCGAGAAACATTTGTCTTCTTGAAAATCCGACATATTGCCCACGAATCCTAAAACAACCAAACAATCAAATATTAAAACAATATACAATAAACTTTTGACTAATTTAAGAAATGATCATAAGTTTATAGGTAAGAAATACATCTTTATTGGTACGAAATCTTTTGGGTATCATACCATTGTGGAGATCCATAATTCCTAACATGCGATCATAGTCATACCCTTAACTTAGTTATGTCAATAGAAACCTCAAATGTCGAAAAAAAAAGTTGTAAGCCTCAAAAGTATAGTCAAAAGTGACTAAGGTGTCGAACAAACGGTGTACTTTATTTGAAGACTCTAAAGAAGGAGTCAGACCTCGATTAAAGGGAGGTTGTTCAAGGGCTTCATAGGTTTCAGGAGAGGCTCTATAGTATACTTTATTCGAGAGGATGATTATTGAGAGAGAGTCACACATGTGCTAATCTAGGGAATGATTGGTATAAGGCTTTTTTGAGAAAGCCCAAAGTAAAATCACGAGAGTTCATGTTCAAAGTAGTCACTATCATACCTAACATAGACTCAATTTTAAACGAATCGAGCTTAAAAAATTAGAGCCGAACCATAATGTTAGACGGATCGCGAAACTCATGCATCATCCAATCAGTTTTGAGTGCTTTACAAGCTCTCCCTTTATAGAAAACAAGAGATTTCTTCAACCCAATAATGGATTTGGAAGAACAATTGGAAGAATAAACAGGACGATCAGTGCCAGTAGCTTTCCAAAACCCAGCTCCGGTGACACGATTAGGCCGCGCACTGTTCCTATATTTCCTGTCTCTTTGACAATAAAAATACCACTCCTTCTCTCCACTCGCCGCCAGCTCTAAACCAAAAAGGCACACAAAGTGAGTATCACCAACAACAACATGAACAGAGGTAGAGATATCAATAATCAAACAACATTACTCGGAAGATCCCACGGATCATATTTATAGATATCAAGCTGCCTAATGAGCTCAATGCAAAGCGGCCGCTGCTGGATCTTCATTTTCAAGTAAAACCCAACAAGCTCTTCATCCGTTGGATGAAATCTAAACCCCGGAAGCATCACATCATCATCTTCAAGAACAAGTTCTTCATTGTTTCTTTCTTCCATTTTGAACAATAATGATAATTTTTTCTCAACCCATAACACTTTAAATACCATAATCGAGGTGGGTTTGTGTTTTGCGAGGAAGGTGACCCATAAAAGTCAACAAAAATTGATCTTGGCGACTGACCTGGACAGCCGGTTTTTTTTTAGAAGAATCTAAGGAGTTTGAACCGATTCAGCCGGTTTCTTGGGATGGTTACAAAATTGTACTGGTTCATTTCTTTTTATATATTATTAATGGACGTTCTTCGATGATGAATAAATGGAAACGTTAAGCTCAAACCAAGTTCCAAGATAAGCTCGCTCTCACTTAAATAAGAATTAAAAAATTATTACTTTGAATATATATACATACATACATTTATTTATATATTTATAATATATTGTATATATATATATATATATATATATTGGTGTTCAGTTTCTATTCCATTCTTCCCTCAGCTTCTATTCCAATGATTTTGTCAGATATTACCAATTTATTTTGTTAAATAATTATTAATGAAGAAACTATACTGCAAAAATAATATAAATTATACTATATGTATTATGTTAGGGGTAAAATTGTAAATTGGTTCAAGATGAATCGAACCGCTAGGGACTTGGCTTGAAGAACAATTCCATGGTCGGTCAGTGCAAGCCCAATTTGGTGCTCTTTTGCCCTAACCCTAAAAGAGTTGAATGATCTTATATGAACGTTCATTATGTTTTCATAATTTGAGATTAATAAAAAATCGGGTTTATCTGATCAAGGGTCCTAGTGCTATCTGTTAGACGAACACGTTTCTTGAACAAAGTACAACCACCCCTTAATTGAGGCTCGACTTCTTTTTCTTTTGGAACCCTTTGTTCGACATATGAGGGCATGGTAGACGAACACGACTTTCCACAATCGTATGATATTGTCTACTTTGAGCATAAGCTCTTGTGACTTTGCTTTAAACTTCCCCAAAAAGCCTCATTTCAATGGAGATAATATTTCTTGATTATAAACCCACGATCATTTTCTAAATTAGCCGATGTGAGACTTTCATCATCCAACACTATTTAGGTGCAAAGAATTACGAGGTGACTTCTTTCTATTGGCTATATATCTCTATCGTGCTAGAGCTAGTTGGGTTGGGGTGAAGAGCCGTATCGGAGGCCAAATGTGCCATTTTTAACATCTTTAGGACCGAATAAAAACAAAACTCAAATCGGTTTAAAAATTTCAAATCTAAGCGACTATAAACTTGGATCTTTATAATATAATATAATTTTAATTCATATTATGATTTAATTTATTTATAAAAAGGAAAAAAGGAATTAATTCGTACATAAAATATATGTAATATTTTAATAATAAAAAAAAAGTCATGCATCGAAATAAGATATTAAAAATTAAATTTAAATAAAAAATGGGGTTTTGAGAGACAAAAACAAAAAAATTTGAAATAAAAAAGATTAATTATTGGGATAAGGTGTTCAAAATTTAAAGCCATTTTGAGCGCATTCCAATGCCATGCGTGCAACCAAGAAGAGCGTTTTGAAATCAAGTCAAACCCTAAATAAACCCACCCACTTCTCTATGTCTCATTCCACGTGACAATTTAAACCCTTCTTAATTACGCTTCTAAACCTTATTATTTCCCTTTTAATCATTTTATTATCTTTTCTCCATTTATTTACCAAAAAAATTAACAAATAATTAATTACCGACCAGGTTGTGTTGATGAGTTAACATTAGTAACACTTGTCTCGACGACGGTTAGAGATGACCATTCACACTCTTGACGCTATTCTAGAACGTCAAGCTTCAAGTAGACCACGTCTAAGTTGACTCAAGCTGTGATGCTTGAGTAAAAGAGAAGTACATGAATGAATCGAGATTATATCTGAATGAGAGTAATTCCCTTGTGACATACTCCTCGTTTTTAAAAGTGAAAACTATCCGCACAGATCAACACAAGTCATTCTAGCATGTTTTTTCCTCACTCACATGCATTCTAGGAAAATTTCCAAGAGATCGTCCAGCATAGAATTGGTCAAAGTAAAACATGTTTAACTATGAAGTTCGTATGATTGAGCTCACAGAAACGAATGTGCATTTTGTTAAAAAACAAACCAACCTGAAAGCTGATGGGCATGTGACACCCGATTAAAAGAAGGAATACATGAATGAACCGAGATCACATCCGAATGAGAGAGATCTGGAAAAATACCTTGTTTGACAATTTAAAAATAAAAAATATAAAACTATATTCCACGTGTTGCAAGACATAAAGTCCCTCTTGTCTTTATGGTTCTCTTTTTCTTTTTATTCTAACTTAGCTAATTTTATGCCACTAATTTTAAAGGGTTTATTGTAATTCACAAAATGGAAAAGCAAATCAAAAAGAAAAAAAAGGGAATTGTGGACTTAACTTCTCCTCTAAGTAAATACAATATTTCAAAATTACATTATTACCCTTTAAACTAACTTGAGTTTCGAAGTTCGTACAAGTGAAATATGAAAGTTCTCCAAATTTGGTGTCGATTAGACACTAGACGGATGTTTCATGAGGCCGTATGAAGTTTGGTCAAAATGACGTCTATTCCTGTCAAAAGTAAAATACCTTAAAATGTGCTCGAAGAAGATATGATGTCAACTCTCCACTGCCCTCGAGTTTTATGGCCTAAGTGAGCTACCTAATGAAACATGCGTGTTTTATAGTGTGAAAGGCGAGTGTCATAGATATCTTCCTTCAATAAGAAATTTTCGAGGACAATGTTGGACAACATAAGTATGTCGACATTATGCTTGGTACATCGAACACATAAGAATTCATGCCTCGTTAGTACTTAAATGAATGGATCTCTGTGAGGCCTTGACTCAGCTTGTAACGACCCAGATCCACTGCTAACAGATATTATTCTCTTTGGGCTTTCCCTCAAAACTTTAAAACGCGTCTACTAGGGGAATGTTTTCATATCTTATAAAGGATGTTTTGTTCTCTACTCCCGTTCGAAGGCCAGCGTCCGAACCCCCACCAAATCCACCCTCCTTTAGAGCCAGCGTCCTTACTAGCACACTGTCTCGTGTCTACTCCCTTTTGAGAACAGCCTTCTCGCTAGCACACAGTCCGATGTCAAGCATTCCTTATAAAGGATGTTTTGTTCTCTACTCCCGTTCGGGGGCCAGCGTCCGGACCCCCACCAAATTCATCCCCCTTTGGGGAACAACCTCCTCGCTAGCACACAGTCCGATGTCAGGCATACCTTATAAAGGATGTTTTGTTCTCTACTCCCGTTCGAGGGCCAACGTCCTTACTAGCACACCGTCTCGTGTCTACCCCCTTTGGGGCACAACCTCCTCGTTGGCACACAGTCCGATGTCAGGCTCTGATACCTAATAGCACACCATCTGGTGTCAGGCTTTGATACCATTTGTAACGGCCTAGATCCACTGGTAGCAGATATTGTTATTTTTGGGCTTTCTCTTTCGAGCTTTCCCTTAAGGCTTTAAAACGCGTCTATTAGGGAAAGGTTTCCACACCTTATAAATGATGTTTTGTTCTCCTCCCCAACCAATATGGAACAAAATATGACATGATCACGTATTGGTCTAAGCAATAGTATTAGCTTATTTCAAAACGAGTAGGTAATATAATAACATAGTTCGGGAATATTAGGTTTCCGATTTAGATTCTGTATCATTTTTAAATTTCAATTTTGTTCTTATCTATTCAACTCGAGATCAATTCAAACTAATTTTGTGTCCTTATCATATTATATATTCATATTCCTTCACTAAGCCATGAAATTCTGTTCCATAACATGCTTCCTTTCGCCAATTCCTTCAAATTTTTCCTCTGCAACTCCATCGTCTCTGTTTTTGGAGCAATAATCTTAAACTTTTTCAGGTATGTTTCTTACATTTATCGCAACCTTTTCAACTCCGAATCAAATTCCATTGATTATGGAGCAAACGCCATGGATGTCGGCTCTGTTCTACCAGAAGCACCGACAGAGCCTGTCTCTGTTTTACCGAGCTCAAATTCAAGCAAGTTTCAGCTCAAACCCACTTCACAAATCCATGGATTCATGGAAGAATCACAAACAACCAGCTGTTTTGTTCAACAATTGTTCTGTGATCAAACTCCATGTTTTGATGATGGGTTCATAGAACAAGAACAAGAACACAGATCCTCTGTTTCAAATGCGGAATCTTTGGCTGTAAATGATTTGAACGAGGAGGAGAATCAAGAGAGTTTAGAGGAATCAAAAGAAACAGAATCGGACGAGATCGAGCATCAAGATTTGATCAACCAGCTCAAAATTGAGCTAAGAAACTCAAGAACAGGGCGGCTTCCAACTGTTCTAGAAGAAGAAACAGAGCCAGAGCCAGAGCCAGAATCCATGCGCCTCATAGCTTTAAAACCTCTAAAAAATGGTGGAAATTTCGAACAAAAAGAACATTTCAAAGAGATTCATGGGCTCTACAAGACTTATACAGACAAAATGCGAAAGCTCGATATCTTCAATACTCAAACGAATTACGCCATCGGTAAGTCAGGTCTTTGTTGAGGATACTTGGTAGGGAGTCCCACGTTGGTTAATTTAGGGAATGATTATGGGTTTATAACTAACGAATATATCTCCATTAGTACGATACTTTTTTGGGGAAGCCCAAAGTAAAGTTACGAGAGTTTATGCTCAAAGTGGACAATATTGTATCATTGTAGAGAGTCGTGATTCCTAACACTATGTTAGAGTCATGCCCTTAATTTAGCCATGTTAAGTAAATTCTAAGTGTCGAACAAAGAAATTGCTAGACTCGAAGGTGTAGTCAAAAGTGACTCATGTGTTGAACAAAGGGTGTACTTTGTTTGAAGGGGTGTAGTCAAAAGTGACTCATGTGTTGAACAAAGGGTGTACTTTGTTTGAAGGCTCAAAGAAATGAGTCGAGTTTTGATTAATGGAGGCTGTTTGAGGACTATATAGACTTCAGGAGAGACTCTATAATGTACTTTATTCGAAGGGGTGGATCGTTGGGAGGGAGTCCTACCTCCGCTAATGGTGATTTGATTAATCTGTTGCAGGTTTTGTTAAGTTAAAAGAACCAGTTTTTCCAAATGATGGAAGGAAATCTAGCCTAAAATCTCTGTTTTCCGACATGTTAAGGTCAGGGAGAGCCGACAAGGGCTGTCTAAAACTGATCAAAGACATCAAAAGAGACATGGAAATGGTCTATGTCGGACATCTTTGTCTGTCTTGGGAGCTTCTTCAATGGCAGCATAGAAAAGCCAAACAATTGCAACAAAACGACTCTCAATTCAGTCAAGTTGTAAACGAGTTTCAACTCTTCTGCATTCTCATTCAAAGATTCATAGAGGATGAGCCGTTTAACGGTCCTCGAATCGAAAACTACGCGAAAAATCGACGTCTCGTTCGTAATCTTCTTCAAGTTCCTGCCATTAGAGGTGGGTTTATGAGTACATTATCAAATTACCCTGAAATCTTGAAGCTTTCCATTACTTACCCAACTCACTTGCAGAGGATTGTGTAAATGACAAGAATCTAAGTACCATTTCAACAGCAGATTTAGTATCAATCATTGAAGATTCAGTAAGGGTTTTTCGTGAATTGCTTCAATCGGACAAGGACATTGGGAATTCAGGTATCAAGTTCATGTTTCCTCAAGAACATGTTCATCGGATTGATACCCAAAACCCGTTTGATGCAGAACTCATGATGATCCAAGTAAGAACTGATCTAAAAAAGGTACTTTTTTTTCTTGGTTTTCTGATAAAAAAAACAACCCTTTTCGTTGTTTTTGAGTTTTGATCTTGAAATTACATGAAATTTAGAAGGAGAAACGGCTAAAAGACATGATGAGAAGTGGGAATTGTATAGTGAAGAAGCTGCAAAGGATGAGTGAACAAGGCATAGCGAGGGATGAATTGTTGATAGCAGAGGTTGAGCTGAGATTGATATCAAGAGTGGTGAGTATGTCAAGATTAACAGAGAGCCAACTGATTTGGTGCCATAAAAAGCTTCACCAAGTCAAGTTTGTTCATGGAAAGGTTGCTTTAGAGCCCTCTTTTTTGCTTTTTCCTTGTTGATTTTGGAAATCATACCCAATCTTGTACATTTATATATATGTTCTTGAATTGAGATCAAATGAGAGTGATTTTGGAGTACTAGGTCAATTTTTTTAGTTAGATTTGCCTTCAGTTGGCTCGTGTAACAGCTCAAGCCCACTGCTAGTAGATGTTTTTTTTTTTTTTTTTTCTTTTACTCCCGTGCTTCACTTCAATGTTTTAAAACAAGTATGCTAAAGAGAGCTTTCTACGCCCTTATAAAAAAAAATGTTTCGTTCCTCTCTCCAATTGATGTGAGGTCTCACGTATTTGTTAGCGGTGGGTTTGGACTGTTGCAGCTCGGCTAGGATTCCATCTACTCGTGGCGGCTCTGATTGACTTAAATAGCTTGGATCACTTTTTTTTTTTAGCTTTGTTATACCATTTTGGATTATTCTAAAACCATTTCTAACGTAATTAAGATTAAATATGATATCCCACGTTAATTGGGGAGGAGAACGAAACATCCGGGTGTGGAAACCTTTCCCTAACAAATCGTTTTAAAGCCTTGAGGGAAAGTTTGAAAGGAAAAGGCCAAATAGGACAATATCTACTAGTAGACTTGAGCCGTTACACTAGAAAAGTTCAATATGACTACTATTTGGGTACGATTTTAGGATATTGAAGTTAGGTCGGCTCCCTCGGTAGACTCTAAGCTCAATGGTTTTTTAATAAATAGAATGACATAGATGCAATTGGACTGCATGAAGCTGAACTTAGGAATATTCGATTATAAACCTTATATAATAATGATGAATTATAATAAAATAATATAAAAATAAATTATAAAATGATGCATACAAAAAATAATTTGAAAATAAAAGGCTTAATTAAGCTCTCATTAGTTTATTAAGCTAATTAATTTAACTTTACATTAGAGAATTCGTGATTAATTTCAACAAATTATGATTAATTACTCGTTAGTAATTAACAAATTGTGCCAAAAACGACAATAAAATATTAAAAAATTCTATTACATACAAAATTAATTTGTGGTTAATAAATATTTAATATTTCTATTAAGTAAAATAATTATCGAAAAAATGGATAAATTTATTAGACAACTTTTAACAAGAAAATTTGAGGGATCACGTGCAAGTCTCGTGACATTGAAAGAACTCTCAGATCTGGTTCCACATGGATGAGTGATGAGCAGCAAAAGAAGGTCCACAACAACACACCGCCAAGCTCCATTTTCGTTTAAGCTTTTCCCTTTCCCAACTGAAAAATATCGTCCTGTAATTCTAACCGGAGTTCAAGTCAACTGAATAATCCCGATTCAAACTTCTCTTCTTCATCCCTCACACGGCGTGAGGGATTTGTAAGGGTAAGATCGCCTCATCCCTTCTTTCTGGAGCTTTTTTTTTTTTTTTTTTTGATTGATTGATTTTGGTTCTAATTTCGTCGATCTTTTGATGTTTTTATGCCTTTTCTGTTTCTGCAATGTTGTTCTTTGATTTTCACCTGGTGAATTTGTTGTGTATTTCCAGTAATCTTGCGGTTTCTTCGAGGATTTTAGGGATTTTTTTGTTCTTTGCGTGTTTGTTCTTATTGTTCTGCCTTTTTTAGGGGATTTGATTTGAATTCTTTTGTGCGGTTTATGCGATTAATGGATATTTGTAATGTAATGTTAACGCGTTTAGGTTAATTTTATATCTGACGAGGCCAATTGTATAGTACTTGGCCTCCAATCGATCGTCTCTAGGGCGTTGTTTCTCAACCTATTTTGCCATTTTCTTGCTGCATCTATGGTTTATTTAGGGCTTGTTTGATAACAATTTTGTTTTTAGTTTTTTGTTTTTGAACATTGTGTGCTTGTTTTCCTCTATGGTTTTCACCTCTCGTAAAAGAAAGTTTTGAATTCATAGTCAAAATTGAAGCTACTTTTTTAGTTTTAAAAACTTTGCTTGAGTTTTGAAAATACTTTTAAAAGTAGATAACGAACAAAAAAGCTCATGTGTGAAAGTGGTATTTATAACTCTAATACTCAAAAACTAAGGCCCCATTTGTTAACCATTTGGTTTTTGAAAATTATTCTTGTTTTCTTTTCATTTCTTTATCATGGATTCATCTTTCTTAAGAAAATATTTGAGTTCTTAGCTAAATTCCAACAACAAAAACAAGTTTTTGCTAACTATTTTTTTTAGTTATCAAAATTTGGAAGGTAGATAACAAGACAAGAAAACCCGGGAAAGTAGCATTTATAGGCTTAATTTTCATAAACCAAAAATAAAAAAATCAAAACCTAAATGGTTATGAGCGGGGTGCCTTAATGTTTTTGGTCCTTTAGAGGTAAACCGTCTCTTTTGTGGATTTACAGGTTTCCTTATTATATTAGGTTGAGTATAGTATTATCAATAAGTTGATAATGGAAACTTTAAAAATTAGAGGTTCTGTTAGAGATTGCGGAGAAAACTGAATACTCTTTCAGAATATTTCTTGCCCATCTCTAGCACCGAGGCGAGAGCCCCTCAAGCAGTCTTATTTGAAACCAGGCTCCCAGTATGGGTTTTTCTGTGAAACACATAGGCGTGCTTTTGAAAACAGTGAGGACAGGTAGGGAAATCTTTCGAGGTCCTTCTTAAGAATGTTTTCTAAGTTCTATTTCTCTACTTCATATTGGTTACTCGTGTAAATTAGAAAAAAAGAAGTTTGATTCTTTACATGCCTTTCCTCCATAGCGTTGCACCTTTTCCTTGTTACATGATTTTCCTATAATCTTAGTCAAGCATTCATCCATCATTCACTATTGATGAAATTAATCCAACTTTCTCGAATATACATCATTTGACTCAAATTAATGGACATATGATATCTATGTACCTTCTCTCGTGTTGTCAGGTTCAGTCCTTGTTGATTTAGTTGATTTTTCCCCCATTTTTCCTTTCAGCAGGTGGTCATTTCTGACCTGTAGTCGTGTGTTGTTAGAATGTGGAATTTTGCTTCCAATTGTGTGGCTGGATGTACTGGACTAAAGAGCGGCTCCCAAAAACCGACTCATACCGCCACAGAGTGTTCTGATGATGAGGTATCTTCAGATGGTAGGGAGGAGGTGCTAGAGTGTCCAATATGCTGGGAATCCTTCAACATTGTTGAGAATGTGCCCCATGTTTTATGGTGTGGCCATACTCTCTGCAAGAATTGCATCTTGGGATTGCAGTGGGCTGTGGTGAAGTTCCCAACATTACCCGTTCAGCTTCCGCTTTTCATATCCTGCCCATGGTGCAACCTCCTATCCTTCCGCCTAGTTTATAAAGGAAACCTCAAATTCCCTTGCAAGAATTACTTCCTTTTGTGGATGGTTGAGAACATGAACGGCGAAAGGGTGAAATCTCGTTCTGATTTCTCTGGGGATCAACTAGTCTTCCCAGTGAGCGGAAATTCAAGGAGTAATCAAGTCGGTCACAGTAACCTTAGAAGGGGACACCATGTTCGTCAATTAGATCTACAACGATCAAACAACGCCAATAGCCATGCCCATAGCTTTAATCTGGAGAGACTGAAATCTTCTCTCTGCAAATTGCTTGTGTTCTTCGTTCACTTGACAGCTAAATTTCCATTGGTGATCATCTTCCTCCTGATCATCCTATATGCCGTTCCTGCCAGTGCAGCAATATTGGCTCTGTACATATTAGTCACTGTTCTTTTCGCTCTCCCATCGTTTCTAATATTGTATTTTGCATACCCCAGTCTGGATTGGCTGATGAGGGAGATCATCACTTAAGGTGCGTACCACAAGTCAGCCTGAATTGTGTCTGGTGGAGGCCATCACTCCAGGACTTTTACTTCTACAAACCAGCCACAGCCATCAAGATAGCTGACTTCATATCTTAGCTAGTCGACACGTTAGCTTCCCGCTTCCCGTCCCAATTTGCCGACGTTTCAGCAGGATTGTTCAGATTCAACATCGCTCTGTTGCGATCATGGATGATCCCTGCAGCCCCAGGTAAAATAAGTTTTGTTTTGGCTAGTGTCCCATTTTCTTTCCCTATAAACTCTTCTTGTGTAAGTGCGTACAAGTTGAACTTGGTAATTTCTGGTGTCCTCTTGTGGCTTTTGTGTGCCACATTCACTGGCATTGTGCTATAGATATCTGGAAAATAGGTGCTGCCGTATGGACAAGGCTATAAGAAGCTCATGTCCTTGTTTCACTGCTTGTACAGAGGATTGGAGTAATTATATTATGCCCATTTGGAGTAATTATATTATGCCCATGTTTTATATAAACAAGGACTAGATCAAAGCGTTTAAAAGTATGTCAAAACGCTCAATATAAGAACCAAATTGAAACTTTTTGTCGAGAGTACAAAATTTTAACTAGTCGAGCTATAGACGTCCACTATTTACATTTTCGTTGTGTAATATAAATAGATTACTTTTTTTTTTTTTTAATTTGAAATTGTATATACAATGTATTAAAAAGATATAAGAATAACTAATAAATATTTTCCTTTTTTGAAAATATTTTATAATTTCATTTCAGTAAATACAAAAATAAATAAAGAAGAAAAAAAATGGAATGGAGATGAAGGTAGGGTTGGTCTATTAGGTAAGGGTTGTTTGAGAAGTGGGTACAAACAAACAGGCGAAAATTTACAAATACAAGCTAAGATATTCAAACTTCACATTTCAAAAGTGGGTACGTGAAAATGAAATCTCTACCTATTCTCGATATGGTCTATAAAAGAGGTTAGATACGTAATATTATATGGAGTTGAGAGACTCGAACTTCTGATGTACGAGATCTCGTGATCGAAAGCCTATATTTTACCGATCTGAGCTGTAATTAGTGCTAATATATAGGATCTCGATCTCATGGTCGAAGGTGACGCAGAGACCTCGTGATCCAAGGTATATATTTTATGGAGTTGAACTATGTGCTTAAGTTGACTCGGAATAGTTAAATATAATATAGATTCAAATGATATTTTATTTTTTCTAACTAATTTCTTGTGTCGTACAAAATCAATTATCATTTATATAATATACTTAGTGATGTCATTATTTAGTTAACGATGTTAAATAAATTGA